TAGGAGCAGAAATTAGGCCATTCGGCCTATTGAGTCTGCTCTGCCATTCAATCATGGCTGATAAGTTTCTCAAACCCATTCTCCCACCTTCTTCCGGTAACCTTTGATCCCCTTAACAATCAAGAGCCTCTCTGTCTCTGTCCTAAATATACTCAATGACCTGGCCTCCACAGCCTTCTGTGGCTGTGAATTCCATAGATTCACCACCCTCTGGCAGAAGAAGTTTCTCCTCATTTCCGTTCTAAAGCGTCTCCCTTTAAGGCTGTGCCCTTGGGTCCTGCTAATGGAAACATATTCCCGATGTTCACTTTATCCAGATATTTCAGTATTCTGTACGTTTCAATTAGATCCCCCCTTATCCTTCTAAATTCCATCAAGTATAGACCCAGAGTCCTCAAATGTTCCTCATATGTTAAGCCTGGAATCATTCTCGTGAACCTCGGCTGGACCTGCTCCAGGGCCAATACATACTTCCTGAGATGTGGGGCCCAAAATTGGTCACAATATTTTAAATGTGGTCTGACCACACCCTTATAAAGCCTCAGACGTACATCCCTGCTTTTATATTCTAGCCCTCTCGAAATAAATGTCAACATTGTATTTGCCTTCCTAACTACCGACTCAATCTGCAAGACCTCCTGGACTAAGACTCCCAAGTCCCTTTGCATTTCAGATTTCTGAAATTTCTTCCCATTTATTAAATAGTGTATGCCTCTATTTTCCCAGTGGATCAGTGCAGAACAGATCATTGTAAGGCATTTTCTCAAGTTGAACTGCAAATGCCAAAAAGTAACATAGGCACAAACTTGAAGAACAAGTACAGGCCTCGTCTCAAGAAAGTATGTTTACACAGATTGATAGCTGATAGATATAGTTGGGGGGAGAAAATAACTAGCCATTTGGAAGTTGTGGTCTTTGGACAATGGGTTTCAATGGAAGGATTAGTAGGTGAGCCCTGAGGTGTTCCTCTTTAGTTTGGGATCTTTGTAAAGTCAAAGGAAATGGGAAATTGATAGACTGAGAAGTGAAAATATTTTGACTGCGTTTTTGTGGAAGGATTATCACTGCAGATCCTAGTGCACACTATATTGATAGTTTCTAGTCCCTGTGGAATTGGGGATGATGCATATTATATCCTCCATTCTCCTGAATTTCTAACAAAGGATGTATGGGCGCACCATTATTTTTGGGGCGGAGGGTGGGAAGCTCCACTGAGGAGGTGGATTCTCGGGTTCCTTCCTTCTTTCCAGATGACTCATTCACGTAGAGATTTGTTTAGTCAGAGAAAAGTAATAAATTGTACAGTACAGGCTGGCCATACAAACCATTGTACTCATATCAGCACTTTAAAAAGAGCCTTCCAAATAGCTCTCCTCCTCCTGCTCTTTTCCCATTGCCTTACAAATTTACCTTTTTTGAGGTTTTAACTAATTTCCTTCTGTAGGTTACTACTGAATATGCTTCCAGGTATTCCTCCTGATTTTCCACCCTGTATTTTTTTCCATAATACCAGAGATTTCACTCCTAGTTTCTTACATTTTCAAAAATGGTTTTCTCTTTGTCCTGGTTCAGCTTTGAACTTAGGTGCCTGAAATTAAATTGACTTAAATCTAGCCACGGGTAATTTTTAGGTGGGTTTGCTCAGAGCTTTCCCCCAGAGCCTGCAGTAGATTGATTGAATAAAGGGGTGAGTCTGGGTGGGATGCTCTTCAGAGGTTGGTGTAGACTTGATGGGCTAAATGGCCTCTTTCTGCACCGTAGGGATTCTGTGAATAGTGGAATCGCGTTCTTACAGGAAACACCATTAAAAGTTTGATACACCTGCATGTCATCAAGAGCTGCCATAGAATATTAAAGCTCTCCTTTAAAACAAGACTCTTTATGCCAAATCCAGAAAAATCTCGGGAATTAACATGCTAATTTTTCTTTTGGAATACCCTCATAGCAGTTTTCAGTACTTCAAGGGGATGAAATTGGTCTTCAGCCAGAGCTCAAAATGGCAAGATCAGCAGATTGTTAACCCTACCACCGCCACTACCCCACCCAACCATCCAAGTGTATTTTCCAGTATCTGCAGTGATACATTGGCAGGCAGGCTACCCAATGCATCATCAATCCTCTGTTCACAATACACCCGAAAGAAAGGAAGGACGATTTACATTTATATAATCACCAAGATGTCCAATTTGTTCATGGAATGTGAACATCACTGGCCTGCCCAGCATTTATTCCCCAGCTTTAATTCCAATCCCAGGTGTCAAACATGGGGGTTGAACCACAATACTGAGATTCACTGTCCCATGCTCCACTGACAGAGCTAACAGACGATAGCTCAAGGAACAACTAAATCAGTGCCCTCCACCTGAATATAGTTAACCATTAATTGCTATACAATTGACAGGTCCCACTTGTGGTGCCGTGGTAATGTCCCTACCCCTGGACCAAGTGCCAGGGGTCAAGTCACATCTGCTCCAGAGGTGTGTAATAATATTTCTGAACAGATTGATGAGAAAAATAGGGTTATAAAAGAAAATTACTCAATTAAAAGTTGATGCCTTTGGTTCAATACAAAAACAGCATGCAATTTTACAAAGAAACCAAGAGTGAAATTTTTAAAATCTAAATCAGAATGTTTTATTCACCAGCTCCGAACATGGAAACCTAATGTTAGAGCATCACTGTGTTTTCAGGAAGTTTCTGTTGCACACAAACAGTGATCAACATATTGAATAGACTTCTGAATACAGTTATAGGAATGGGATCATCTCAGAAATTGATGCATGAATATTGAAAACCCAAAATCAATATGAATCAAACATTAATTGACTGGATTTTGGTCCCAGTGTCCTTCTTTGTTAAACAAAGAAGCTTTGGAGGGACAGTACCAATCCTGATGGATTTAACGTCACGGAGACTGTAATGTTCAGATCTACTAGAATGAAGGTTATCAGATATGAACCTTTCAGGCCTGCAGCCCAAAATCTTTCAAGGGAGGGATGGAAGGGAGAAGAGGAGCAGCTGTTCCTTGAGGCAGGCCAGACTTCTGTAACACATACAACAGTAGGTGAATAGAGGATTAGAAACTGTTAAGGTTTAACACACAGCAATGATTGAGGAAAAGTCAGCAATGAAACTACTTTCAACTTTACATTCTAGTGGCTACAATGCACTCTTTAAATAACTTGGAAATGGCTGTGTGCCAAAATGTATTACTCATGGTTTGTAGACTGTTTGAGGAATTGAGCAGAACTGAACAGCCTGAGGCTCTTTTCTTTAAAAAAGGGAAGGAAGAGAAGTGACCCGATGGTGGTCTTTAAGACTCTGAAAAGAAGTAGGGGTCTGTAGGATAAGGGTAGGGAAGACGATTTCACATGTGGAGGAAGTTGAAAGTGGGGATTTTCACAAATGAATTTGGGGGGAGCTCTGGAGAAGCAATCTAGAGAGGGTTAAAATGTGAAACTCGTGATTGAAGAGAGTACTAGAGGTGAATAGTGCAGATTAATTCAAGCTGAAACTGGATATGTAAGGAGAGATCAAAAAAAAATGGGAGGAGGCTTGTGGGGAACATAAGCATTTGCAATAGAGTGTTAACTGAAATGGCCTGAATGGCGTTATTAGAAGAAAATGGCATTGGGAAGTTAACTATCATTTTGGACCCTGATTTGTTTAAAGTGCTCTCCTGTTTCCAGTGTAGGACAGTTAGTTGGAAATGAGTGGACCAGCTGAAGTGAATCTCCAGCTCAATCCTTATATGAACTTGCTCTCTCCATGACCTTGTTTTAAGATGTGTACTCAGCATCAGCAAGATGACTTGTTTTGATTTTTATGTTGTCCTTTTGTGAGCGCTTGATCATTATGCCTCATCTACACATTTACCGAAGTGCAAACAGGTCTTGAAGCCACCATGTGCGTTCTCAGTGAACAGTCCAAATTTTACAGCAGAGTTCTGTCTATGACCAGCATAAGCCACTGTACAATGAAGGTATCATGGCTGTTTCTTGGATAGCATGACCTGATGTTTATGTTCAGGATTCTGCAATTAGGTAATGCTTGAATATTAATACAGTACAAACTATTTCTTTTTGTGAAGGATGTACAGTCAATATGAAGAACCCTGACAATGTGTTCATGATTACAGCTTATGGCATCCTGTGTAGCTAATGCTATTATGTTTTCTGCATCAAATGTGATGGCTTCAATGATCTTCTCACTCCTGTATCTGATACAAATACAAATAAAGAAGGTTTGCCGTTTCCTAGTGATTTTTTTTCCTTAGAATTTACCTAATGAATTTACTAAACATCTATTTGGCCGCAGAATTTATACAAAAGCAATTAAAAATAAAAACATAAGAAATCAAAGCAGAAATAGGCCAGCTAGCCCTCGAGCCCTCTTTGCCATTTATAAGATTGTGGCCTTAACTCTTTCCTTGCCCACCCTGTCACAACCCTGACCCTCCCCTGTAGATTACAGATCTGTTAAATTCAGCTTCCACTGCTCTCTGAGATAGAAAACTTCAAAGGTTGAGCATAATAGGTTGCATGATTTCATAGGTTCAAAATGATAGTCAAGAGTGAGATCTAAATTCATAGTTTCATGTTGACGAGGCAATTGCCATCCAACTGAGCCAGTGGAGAGGAGGTTTAACACCTCCATGTTTTTATCCTGAATGGTAAATTAATACTCACCAGTCAAGAAAACAGCCACCGCCACCTCCTCGTGGACAACTAGGGACAGACAATAAATGCTGGCCCGGCCAGCAAAGCCCACATCCTGTGAAAGAATAAATAAAGCTCACAAGAAAAGAAGTTACATCACTTCCTCCTTTTCTGGATTGAATAGAGCTCCCATGCATTGTGTCACAAACAGTGTCTCTATCATCAGCTGATAGAGACTGTATCAGTAGTGAAGAGATAGAACTGTCATTATCATTTCTCTCACTCAGAAAGCAAAGTACCGAATAGCAGAATTTCTTTTTTTTTGTCTCTCTCTCTCTCAAGGTGACGAGTTGGAGTACATCAGACCAAATGTCTACAGGAACATTGCCAAACAGTTGAATATCTCAGTCAGTTCTGAAAGCATCGTGTCTGATGCATTCCTGGCTGTTGCCACTGAGCTTTTCTCTGCAGGTAAATTTCTGAAATATTACTTTGTGTGTTTGACTGTGAAAATGGGATGCTGCTTCCTGCTGCTCTTGTACTGCTGAGCAATATCTGCGCCATGTGTAAAACATACATCTCTAATCCTAACTATCCACCCAGCTTCAGCTGTCCCTGTACAGGATGTCCTTCTGGTTTCTTGCGTAGGTTTCTGTACTCATACACTGTTTTCATTCCTGTGGTTCCTTCCTTGCAGAGCAGCATGAACAAAAAATCTGCTTCTTGATCTCAACTAACAACTGTGTTTCAAAAAAACATATGACTCCTTCATTTACCCTTTCCTGTGATGGTATCATCTCTACTTGGCTCATCTCCAACCACAATGGTATTTGAGATGAAGAACTTCAGCTTCAGCTATGCCACAAGCAAAAATGCCAGCTTGCAAGTAGCATTTACATTTCTCTGATTTTTCGAATCATTTATCACTGCCTTCCTGATCATTTAATTCATCTGTCCACAGACGCTGCTGATTTCCTCCAGCATTTTCTGTTTTTTACTTCAGATTTCCAGCATCAGCGGTATTTTGATTTTATCCAGTTGATTAGTCTTTTAAATTTCTACCTCCGGTTTCTTTAATTGCTGTATCATTGTGTGACACTGCTCCCCATAATTCAGATCCAGGCTTGCCCAGTTACTCGCTGTATAATAATGAGGGAGCTCCCAGTCCAGCATTGTAGAGACTTGCCTGTTTCTCTCTTCTTCCACACAAAGGGGAGGGGAAATCTGAGACTTCCTAGGCCTAAAGCTAGTTGCTGCTGGCAGTCAATTGAAAATTTCAAAGTGGGTGTTGATAGATCTTTGATTAGGTTTTGAGAAGGATGGAATCAAGATTGGGTAGATGGGATTAAAATACTGATCAGTAATGATGCAACTAACTGGCAGAACATGCACAGGGTGTTGATTGGCTTCCTCCTCAGCCTATATTTACATAATCATTTCCAACATCTACATACTCATTAAAGCAGTTTCTGCTTATATTCTTTGGCCATCTGTCCCTCATTCGACAGTGTTCTCTGGTTATGTAATGAATATCCAAATGAATTTGAAGTCCTCATCAAACTGAATAGTAATTGGCTTTGAGTGTATCATTTAGAAGTTTATTTTCAATAGACTAGACAGAAAAATAGAGATTATTCATGTTCTTTTACTTTCTTGTGTTCCCCTCATGTACTTGCTCTCAATTAATAAAATTTAACACTTTGCTATTAGTCACTGAGCTGGATTTGAGCCAGTGGAATGTGTTACAATGGCAAATATTACTCAATAGCAGCTTTTCATTATTGAGATTATACTTCACTGAAGTTTGTACCTTGGTTAGTTCTTTAAACAACAATGTGTAGGACATTGAAAGGTCATCGATTTGCAAAAGCAATGCAGCCTGTAGATTTTTGTTGGAATGTGGGCATCACTGGCAAACAGCAACATTTGTTACATATCTCTAATTGCTCTTAAGAAGGTGAGCTGCTTTCTTCAACTGCAATGCTGCAGGTACACCACCCTGTTCTGTTAGGGAGAGCTTCCGGGATTTTGATCCAGTGACGGTGAAGGAATGACAATGTAGTTCCAAATCAAGATGGTGAGTGATTTGGAAGGTAACTTGTAGGTGCTGTTGTTCCCATTTATTTGCTAGCCTAGTCCTTCTAAGTGAGTCATTGAGCCATACAGCACAGAAACAAACCCTTCAGTCCAACCAGTCCATGCTGACCATAATCCCAAACTAAACTAGGCCCACCAATCTGTCCATATCCCTCCAAACTTTTCTTATTCATGTACTTATCCAAATGTCTTTTAAATGTTGTGACCGTATCTGCATCCACCACTTCCTCTGGAAGTTCATTCCATATATGAACCACGCTGTGCGGAAAATAAGTTGCCCCTCATGTCTTTTTAAAATCTTTCTCCTTCATCTTAAAAATATGCCCCCTAGTCTTGAAATTCCCAACTATAGGGAAAAGACACGTGCCATTCACCGTATCTATACTCCTCATGATTTTATAAACCTCTACAAGGTTACCCCTCAACCTCCTACACTCCAGTGAAAAAAGTTCCAGCCTATTCAAATCTCTCCTTATAACTCAAACCCTCCATTCCCGCACATCCTGGTAAATCTTTTCTGAACCCTCTCTAGCTTTATAATATCCTTCCCATTACAGGGTGACCAGAACTGGAGACAGTACTCCAGGAGAGGCCTCACCAACGTCCTGTATAACCTCAACATGACGTCCCAAATCCCACGCTCAAAGGTCTGAGCAATGAAGGCAAGTGTTCTAAATGCCTTCTTAACCACCCTGTCTACATGTGATGCAAACTTAAATGAATTGTGTACATGAACCTCATGTCCCTCTGTTCCATAACACTACCGAAGGCCCTACTTTTAACTGAATAAGTCCTGCCCTAATTTATTTTACTCAAATACAGTACCTCTCATTTATCCAAATTAAACTCATCTGCCACTCCTCAGCCCATTGACCAAATTAATCAAGATCTCTTTGTAATCTTAGATATCCTTCTTCACTATTCACTATACCACTAATTTTGATGTCATCTACAAACTTACTAATTGTGCCTTCTATAGTCTCATCTAAATCATTGATATAAATGACAAACAAAAGTGTCCACAGCACCGATCCCTGCAGAACACCGATGGTCACAGGCCTCCAGTCCAAAAATCAATCCTCCGTCACCACTGTCTCCTGCCGTTAAGCCAACTTTGTAACCAATTGGCAAGGTCATCCTGAATCCCATGAAATTTAACTTTATTAATTAGTCGACCATGTGGTACCTTGTCAAAGGCTTTACTAAGGTCCGAGTGAACAATATCTACCACTCTCGTCTCATCGATCTTCTTGGTTACTTCCTCAAAAAAACTCAATCAAGTTTGTGAGACATGATTTCCCTCGCACAAAACCATGCTGACTATCCCCAATTAATCCTTGCCTCTCCAACTGCATATGAATCCTATCTTTCAGAATCACCTCTAACAACTTACCTACCACTGAAGTCAGACTCACAGATCTATCGTTCCCAGGCTACTCCTTACATCCCGTTTTAAACAAAGCACAACGTTATCCACTCTCCAGTCATCCCGCACCTCACCCATAATTATATATGACGCAAATACTTCTGCAATGGGCCCCACAATTTCCTCCCTAACTTCCCACAACCCTCTGGGATACACTAGATCAGGTCCTGGAGATTTATCTACCTCTATCTTTTCTAAGACCTCCAGCACTTCCTTTTCTGTAATGTGCTGTTTTCAAAACATCAGCATTTATTTCCAAGTTCTCTAGCCTCCATTTCTTTATCCACAGTAAAAACTGATGCAAAATATTCATTTAATATCTCTCCCATCTCCTGAGGTTCAACACAAAGATGACCTCTTTGATTCTACTCTCTCTCTAGTTGCTTTCTTGCTCATAATATACTTGTATTATCTTACCCTTACCTGCCAAGGCTATCTTGTATCCCCTCCTGATCTCCATCTTACGAATGCCCCTACACTCTTTATCCTGTTCAAAAGATTCATTGGAAGTCCGTTGTCTATATCTAATATATGATTCTATTTTTTTATTCTTGACTAGAACCTCAATATCTTTATTCATCCATTGTTCCCTAATTCTGCCAGCCTTACCTTTCACTCTAACAGGAACATAATGATTCTGAACTCTCGTTATCAGACTTTTAAAAGTCTCCCACTTATCTGACTTCCCTTTACCTATAGTCTACTCCAATCAATTTTTGGAAGTTCCTGTTTCATACCATTAAAATTTGCCTTACTCCAATTAAAAATTTTATCTTTTATGGAAAGCTTATCCTTTTCTGTAACTATTTTAAAACTAATAGAATTATGATCACTAGACCCAAAGTGTTCCTTTACTATCACTTCAATCACTTGCCCTGCCTTATTTCCCAAGAGAAGGTCAAGTTTTGCTCCTTCTCTAGTTGGAACATTTAAATATTGATAGAGATTGTGGGTTTGGAAGCTGCTATTGAAAGAGCATTTTGATGAGTCGTTGCAGTCACCCTGCTGCCACTGTGTGTTAAAGGTGAAGGGAATGATTGTACACCTTGGTGGATGAATCAAGCAGACTGTTTTGGTCTGGATGATGCCAAGCTCCTTGCATGTTATTAGAGCTGTACTCATCCAGGCAAGTGGAGATTATTTCATCAAGTGCCATGGGTGAAGTAACTGAAGATGGTTGGGTTTAGAACACTAGCCTGAAGAACTTCTGCATTGATGTTCTGGGACTGAGATGATTGAACTCCAATTATCACAATCTTTGTGCTAGGTATGACTTTAACCAGTTGAGTGTTTTACGCTGAGTGTTGTAGGTGTACTGGAAGAACAGCTCAGCTGGGGGCAAGACTAGTTCTAAAGCACAAGTCATCAGTACTTACTGCAGGGATGTTGTCAGAGTCCATAACCTTTGCAGTAGCTAGTGCCATAAACCATTTCTTGATACGATGTAGAGTGAATCGAATTGGTTGAAAACTGGTATCAGTGATGCTAGGACCTTGGGAGGAGGCTGAGATTGATCATTTGCTCAACATTTCTAGCTGAAGGTGGATGCTAATGCTTCTGTATTCTCTTTTGGCCTGCTGGTCTGGGCTCCTCCATTGTTGAGAATGGAATATATGCTCTGAATATATTCTTGCTCGAATGTGAAGGAATCAAATTTTGGACAGAAATTAAGGTTTAGTCAAACATTAGAAAGAAAGTAGGTCTCATATTGAAGTGACAATGGACAAATATTGTAAGCGGTGGAAGGAGAGAAGAAAATAGAAGATGAATATAATGAACTGGATTCAGTTGGTCTCTGTGGAGTGGGTAGGGGTAGCATAGGTCAGACTGAAGTGGAGATCCACGGCAATCAACCTACTGGGAAAAAGATGACACCAACAAACAAACAAACATGTTAACTAAGGACTTGAAGATAATATCTAAGTCACCAGCTGAAATCAGAAGTCAC